ATACAAAAATTAGTAGGGCGCACGGAGGCAGGTGATTGTCCTCCCTGCTACCCAGTAGGCTAAAGCAGGAGAATTGCTTGAATCAAGGAGGCAGAGGTTGCAGTGAGCCGAGATCGCACCACTGCACTCTAGCCTGGGCAACAGACCAAGCCTCTGTCTCAGGGAAAAAAGTAATAGTAATAATAATAATAGTTTAACATCTGAGCTACTATTACTAGCTGGATTCTCTTACTTCTCTTCTTGGAACTCTTTGATCCATTCTCTGTAAGGCTACCCCAATAACTGGTTTATTTGTTTCTCTTCCTTTAAAATTCTTCAATTGCCTTAGAATAATTTTCAAGCTCTTTAGCACAACAAGAGTCCCAGCATGACTTGATTCCTGCATACCCCTACAAAGCCTTCTTACCCAGTCTGCCTTTCTGATCAGTAAACATGACAAATCTTTTCCTAATTTAAGTCCTTTACATAAGCTCTTTTCTCTTCCTGGGATGCTTTTCTGAAAACTATTCATTCCTTTCAGGTCTCAGATTATCAAAGAAGCTTTTGCTAAGTTATTCCATGTCATAATATCTCTCTAAAAAAAAGATTTTTCACTGTTTATTATGGTATTTCACCTAGAAAAACACAATTTGTTGAATGAATTTCCTTGACAATCTCTATCCTCGTCAATAATTCCTATGCTTACTTCTTTGTTTACCTATTTATTTACTGCCTGCAAAGAGGGAGGGGTCCTGTCTGTCTTGTTCACTGTCATACTGCTAGCTGGCATATACCAAATAAGAATCTGAATGATTTTTGTTAAGATTAAAATCAGAATAATCATATTTTAATATAACACAATCCAAAATATAAAACCATATATGACTTGCTCTTTCAAAAATTAAATGAGATTGAAAGAAAAACACTACACTGCTATGCTGACATACATAACATTATCATGTAGCACAGCAGTTTGGCTGTGGCTGTTTAACAAGGAAATCATCATTTGAAAGGTAAGTAAAAATTCAAATTTAAAGTGGTAGCTACTTTGATATAAATAAAATATATTGTTTCCTAGCATTAGTATACCTAGCTTTTCATAAAATAGGTTTTTGTCAATTCCAAGAATGATACAGACAAATGCCTTTAAATTAGTTTGAACCTGCTCTTCAAAGACGGTATTTCCATTGGACAAAATGACAATACAATAAACAATAATGCAGGGAGTTTCAGAAGGCCTGTGTTTTAGTCCTGGCACACTGGCTAACTAACCCTGTGATCTTAGGACAGTGATAAAACCTTTGACCCTCAGTTCCTTTAACTACAGCATCGCAATAATTTCTGTATGTCCTAACAATATAAAAAGAGCTCTGGTAAGGATCAAAGGAAATAATAGTAAAAGAATTTGTACAACTATAAAAAACAGCACATAATGCCAGATTATCAAATACCATTAAATTTCATTTAGCTCTATTACCTGAGATTTTTTTCAAAGTATAATCTTTTTAGAAAGTATTTTACCTTAATACATTCATCACTTGGAATATCAAACACTTTCTCAATTTGGTTTTCAACCCTTTCAGGATCAGCATTCTTCAGATCTATCTGGAAAAAAATAAAAAATCCATTATGTGTTAGTACAATAAAGATAAGATGACTTACGTATTAACAGTATTCAAAGGCAGTAAAAAGCTTACCCATTTTAACCTAACTGACCCCACTGATTTTTAAAAAAATCATTGATATATTAGCAGGACAATTTAATAACCATGACTGAAAAAGAGAAGTTAGGTAGCAAAGCATGCAAAAAAACTTAAAGCAGTTAGCTACTCAGCGCAGCAGAAGAGATCAACAGCAATTTATCAATTAAGCAGCATGTGAACTGATTTTAAAAGTTAATTTAAACATAACATTAAGTCTGACAACAAGCTGTCTTACCTATGGCCTTCTTTTAAACTTAACCCCAATATCAAGAAATATAATTTAAAGCAATGGAGATTTTAAAATTAAGATTATAATTTTAAAGTATGAAATGGAAGTTTATAGACAGAGCTCAGTTTAGCAATAAACTGTTATGCTTCATGTGTTATCTTGTTTCTTCCTAGATTATATTTCCTGTGTATGGTTTAATCTGGCAAACATGATTTGTCCACCCTGCAGAAATGGCACGATAATTCAGGGGAAGTATCTTCTCAACTCTGTGCAAGGGCAGAGTTTCAGTTGTACTTCCACTACATACAATAAAAAGAGATAAATTTCACAATATATTTAATAAATACCTGGAGATCTCTCATATAGTAAATTGTACAACTGATATTTAAACACCAACTGTACTTTTATAAAGTGAAATAACACTGTTGTCTTATTGTAATTACCTTATTTATAACTGGAATTACTGATAGCTGTGCTTCAAAGGCAAGAAAGAAGTTTGCTACAGTTTGGGCTTGAATACCCTGAAAAGATCAAGACACAAAATACTGAGATGACCATTCTATTATCCATCACAAAATTTGTAATTTAAGACCAATCCACACATCTTCATCAAGAGATTTTGCATAATGCTAATAATAAAATTAAATAAAATGCCACGTAACTACCCTTCATACTTTTCTTTCCAGCTTATATCTTTGGGGTCAAAATGAAAATCACTGATGGTAAAGCAATAACCACATCAAGCAGAGTGACCAAACAGTCTACTAAGTTTGAGATAGGAAGCCTTTAATGAAAGGTACAGGGCAAATCAACTATGGGTATCTATTTTTCTATGCATCTGGATCATTCTCTACGATAATTACTTTCAGTTCAGAAAGTATTTATCAGGCATTGCAGAAACAAAGATGTAACATGGACTCTCAAGGACGTCAAAGCTTATGAGAGAACACAGTCATGAAGGCAGTGTATAAAGCTCAGTACTGCCTATATAAGTTAGAGACTGACTTTCCTTAACAGAATCAGGAAAGCCTTAACACAACACCATCACAACCAGCAACAAAACATTAGGTTTTAAATGAAGAGTTTGTGAGAAACATATACCAAAATTTTACTTAAGTACATTCACAGCTTTCACAGCTTTTATATGGTCATCTGCTGAATGTCTTTAGAGTTTACAGCACAATAAAGCTTAGCAATGCTATTGATTTTTAAAAACCTAATACTCCCCAAATTATTGCCTAACTAAAGATTTATTTGCAAGATCTGCTAACAACGGATATAGAAAGCTCAGATTAAGAACTACTAAAATTGGTAGGCTTTTTTTGGGGGGAAGACGCAATGATTATATGACATCACACTTCAAAAAAATACAATCTTTTGAAAAATTCCAATTTAAACACTAGTCAATTCCAGAGAATGCTTTAGTATAACAGTATTTCAAGTTAACAGGATGAAACCATATGATTTTGAATAGGTGACAGATTAAATCTATTTTTTAATTATACTTGAAGTTCTGAGGTACATGTACAGAATGTGCAGGTTTGTTACATAGGCATACACATGCCATGGCGGTTGGTGCATCCATCACCTCATCATCTACATTAGGTATTTCGCATAAATCAAATTTTTAAACACAAAATTCTATTTCCAAAACACATTTTAAAGAAAAACTAAACAACCAATCATGTCATATCACATGTCACATCATACAAAATGAAAAGCACCTACCTCATTTGCATCAACCACAAGTAAAACACCCTGGCAAGCAGAAAGTGACCTGGATACTTCATAACTAAAATCAACATGGCCCTGAGAACAAAAATATTGATACCTGTAAATGTGAGCTGAAATTTTTTAGGAAAGGGCATTATTGGAAATTTATTGATTCTACTTGATAAAAGTTGTTAAATACTGGTTTCTTTTTTGTAGCCTGAACTTTTGAAACAACTGATACTAATAGAACACTAAGAAAAAAAAAGCAAGAGCAGATGTTTAATATTCAGTTCAAAAATTAAACAAGGATCTGTTTGCACTACTGACACAATATTGACTTTAACAATACATGCAAAATTAGTATTAAACTTACCGGTGTATCAATGAGATTTAAAAGGTACTGCTTTCCTTCACAATCGTGAAAAAGAGATGCTGTCTGTGCTTTAACAGTGATTCCTCTTTCTCGTTCCACTTGCAATTTATCGAGAACTTGCTTATTATTCTTTGTTTTATCAATTGTCCCTATAAACAGAAACACTGATATTTCTCTGAGCTTTAAAAAAGAAAGAGAATATTACTTACAAAATTAAAATTTAAGAGTATGGTGAAAGTAATTCTCAGTAACTCTCAGCCATCAGTTAAGTATGTAATATAAATGAAAATACCTGTAAGTTCTAGGAGCCTGTCAGCTAAAGTACTTTTGCCATGATCCACATGTGCAATGATACTGAAATTTCTAATATTTTCAACAGGAAATCTAGACATGTCAAGTTTTTCCTAGAAAGGGGAAATACCACATTTAGGAGTATAAATTTTGCATACTATAAAACAACTATACCAATTCAAAGAATATTCTTTTAATCGTTGAACAATATCATTTCTAGCATATAATATTGTTTTATATTCTTCTAAGAATAAAGACATGTATGGCTAAATTCATATTACAAGGAACATCAGTTTAATAGTCAAAGGTAACTATATAGCTAAATAACAATCACTTACTTAACATTTCTACACCATTTTTAGGGCCAATCAGGAGCTGAACTTGTTATCATGAATGGAGAACATAAGATACTTAGAACTTCTAAAGGCCTGAGAATACCTTGTCCAGTAAAACTTTTGAGGCAGTGGAGCTACAAAAAAAGCTGTAGAAGAAGAGAAATCTTCTGCACCTATCAAACATTTAATCAGGAATCAGATTTATTTAAAAATCTGTGTCTCAGCCAGGCACAGTGGCTCATGCCTGTAATCCTAGCACTTTGGGAGGCCAAGGCAGGCGGATGACTAGGTCAGGAGTTCAAGACAGGCCTGGCCAAGATGGTGAAATCCCGTCTCTACTGAAAATACAAAAATTAGCTGGGCATGGTGGCACACGCCTGTAGTCCCAGCTCATCTAGAGGCTGAGTCAGGAGAATCGCTTGAACCTGGGAGGTGGAGGTTGCAGTGGGCCAAGACAGTGCCACTGCCCTCCAACCTGGGTGACAGACTGAGACTCTGTCTCGAAAACAAAAACAAAAACTGTGTTTCTAATTGGGCCTCAAAATTTTATTTTAGATACAATTTTGCTACTTGGTAGCTTCTCTGGTGAGAAAGAAAAAAAATATGACATCAGACAAAGGACTTTTAACGCTTAAAATTTAAAAATATTTAAAAATGTAAATCCTGGTTTTTAGTGTACGCATCTTTAACGGTTTACTGAAACACACCACAATCTGCTAGAAACTGGTATCAAGCAAAATATACCAGTTATTTGTACTCAAAACATTTTTCCAATCAAATCTGTATTTTACAATCAGCAAAACCATGAAATTACAAAGAAATATAAAATTCACATGTGCTTTACATTATTTCATTGTAGCCCAAAACAAGACAGATAATAAAAGCACAATTACAGCTGAAAGTTTGCCAAAAATTTTTTTAAACTAATTCTGATATTTGCCCTATAGATTTCTTCTCTTCAGTTCAAAAGTTATACAGAATTGCACCATTTTTAAGAACTCTGAATTGCAACATAAATCCATTTTTAAAACCACCGGCATATTAGGACTAAAGCTGATTAATTATAAAGTTTTGTTTTTCCGCTTACTTATAGCTTGCCTTCAATCACTTCAGTTTCCTGCCCAAACTGTGTCCCTTCACAATTATCAGAGTTGTTGAACCTCTTACCCTCGCCCACCGCAGAGTCAAAATTACACAGGTTTGCCGTGGCTGAGGTAGAACGAAATTAAAAAAACTACAAAGACAGACAGATCACTTCTTGAATTCTAGTTATTAGTCTAAAAAAGTCCACTTCTCACATCACACAAATCTTACATGTTAGCGACTGGATGTTTGATTCGTTCTGCATTCAACAAATGAAGCAGGAGAGTGACAAAGAAGTAACTTACCCAGGTCACAGAGCTAGTTAATTTGCAGGAAAATGGACGTTATATTAATATTTACTAGCAACTTTCTCAGCAGGCTTTTTAGAATTAAAAAGATGAGTCCACGCAAAGCGCTTCGACCCAGTGGCTCACATAAACAAATCAACATTTGACATTGCAAATGAGAAAACCTAGGAAGTCAGTGACTTTCCCAAAGTCACACTAGGGAGGGGTGGAGAGTCGGGAACCTGAGCAGCGCTCACACTCTGCTCTGTCCCACTGTACCAAGTCGCAAACAGGGTTCAAAGCTAGTTCTAGGAAGCCTTGCACATTTCCAAGATCGCATGGGGCACTCTAACTTTCTAAAACATGGCCAAGGGGGCAGTCACCTTGAGGTCAGCGGAGCTGTAGAGCCTGTCGGTAGCCCAGGATTCCGGAGCAGCCCCGAAGGTTAACGCGGGCCGGGGCCCCGGGACCACCAGAAGCGAGGTCCTGGTGGCCCGCGGCGCGAGCGCGCGTGCGCACCCCCAGCCCCGACCCACGAAGGTCAACATGACCGGGGCGGAGGAGGCGTCAGGAGAGGGTATCGCCAGGCAACAGCAGCATAGCCCGCTTTTATTCGAAGGTACCCCAGTAGGGTCCGGTGGACAGGACTCAAACAGAGCCTCTGAAGCGGAGGAGACAATGAACCCCTGGCAGTCCCGCCCAATTGCCGGCTCCGGTTGAACCCCGAAGACGTGGCGCAGTTTGCTGACGTCTGCACGCCGCACGACGTCGTGACGTCAGCGCGTCTTGGCGCCGGGTAGTGGAGAGGTTACGTGAATGGAGGCTTTCAATTTGCTGCCAGAAATGCAGTGTGCGGAAAGAGAACATACTAGCTTGTATTATCTGGGGAGTGCTGTGCCAATTCCTTTGCATTGTCTCTTTCTTTCTCACTACTGCCCTGTGTGATGTGTGTACTCAGTTCGCTCAAACTACCTCAGGAAATCCGGACCGAGTGACTTGCCTAGGAGCTCACTGGTGAGGAGCTGTGGAGCCTGGCGGGCCGCCCAGGCAATCTGATTCCCGAACCAGGAGGCGAGATCTTAAGTGCAGGGGCTTAAAGATGCTATTATTAGCACAACGTTGAGGCTTAGCCTTCTACCTAATGACAAAATAATAATTGCTCTTTTAAAATCTGGAGGTCGAAATATATTCCCCATGTTGTCAATGACTGAGCTGATCTTAAACTGTGGTCTGAAAGGAAACGGGCCGTAACATTGAATGTAATAGTGAATCTAGGAAGGTTCTGGCAAGAAGTAAATGTAGGAAAAAGTTTCATGCTGGACGCCCAATGTTTCCATCGTCATCAAGTTACCACTTCATCGAATGAGCTCTGGCGAAGTAAGAATGGGGGATAAAGGCCGGGCGCGGTGGCTCAAGCCTGTAATCCCAGCACTTTGGGAGGCCGAGGCGGGTGGATCACGAGGTCGAGAGATCGAGACCATCCTGGTCAACATGGTGAAACCCCGTCTCTACTAAAAATACAAAAAAAATTAGCTGGGCATGGTGGCGCGTGCCTGCAATCCCAGCTACTCAGGAGGCTGAGGCAGGAGAATTGCCTGAACCCAGGAGGCGGAGGTTGCGGTGAGCCGAGATCGCGCCATTGCACTCCAGCCTGGGTAACAAGAGTGAAACTCCGTCTAAAAAAAAAAAAAAAAAAAAAAAGCTTGGCCGGGCGCGGTGGCTCAAGCCTGTAATCCCAGCACTTTGGGAGGCCGAGGTGGGTGGATCACGAGGTCGAGAGATCGAGACCATCCTGGTCAACGTGGTGAAACCCCGTCTCTACTAAAAATACAAAAAATTAGCTGGGCATGGTGGCGCGTGCCTGTAGTCCCAGCTACTCAGGAGGCTGAGGCAGGAGAATTGCCTGAACCCAGGAGGCGGAGGTTGCGGTGAGCCGAGATCGTGCCATTGCACTCCAGCCTGGGTAACGAGAGCGACACTCTGTCTCACAAAAAAAAAAAAAAAAAAAAAAGAATGGGGGATAAAACAGAGATGATAAGTGTATTGCATCCAGTGATTGTCTCCCACTACTTCTCTTGCGCCTTTCTGGAATATCCAGAGTTTGGTGCGAAGGAGGAAGATGACAACTGTGTTCAGTTCACTATTGTGACTGAGACAGAATCCTTCGTATTGTTTTCAGAGCCTTTGAAAGTGTCTTCATTTGGAGGATTTCTTAGGATCAAGAATTCTGTAGCAGACTCAGTTCTTTCTTGGAATTTTTATGAATTAAAACAGTACTTAATACACGATAATTCTCTTACACACTTGTAAGAGAATGAATTTAACAACTATCTTGAAGTGAGCACAATAATTTATATTCAGTGTTGCCCAGACTTACCTAATTTGCATGTTACTCTCGTTAATTTTCACCATATACTGTCAGAGATAAACAAAAGAAGACACCAGTTAAAGTGGTGAAGACAGATTTTTATTATAGTGATATACTGTTGCAATTGGGAAGAAGATCCAGAATGCATTAAACTACAATTTGCATTTTAAAAGGTGAATGCAGGAGAAGGGAGAGAGAACAACTGGGCTTGATCAAAGTCAGGGAAATGGAAATTTACAAAAAGCAGGGGCAGGAGAATGGTGCATTTGAAATCCATCTGGCTTGTTAACTGTTGCTTATGGAAATTACGCTCTTACCCTTCCTGCAAAAATGCTTAGAAACAGGGGTCCTACTTTCACCTGTTGGCTGTAACAAATTATTTTGTCAGCGGTATGCTTTCTCAAACAAAAATTTAACGGGGCTTCATCTTAAAAATGCAGCCTTGAGCTGTTAGAAACTATTAGTTTGTTAAAGTCTTTTAATGTGTGTTGGCGAGTGGGCAGGGGAAGGACGTGGATGAAATTATTTGTGCTGAGGGTCTGTAGTTTTTATAGACAAGTTTCACGCTTTGCTGATGAGAGGGCTTAGAGAAGCCTGGGTAGAGTTTGGTTAAGGAGAGAATCTCTGTCAATCCTCATACCGATATTATATACTTGATATTTTTCTTTAACTTACCTTGATATGAACATGAATGTGTTTTAAAAGAGAACATTGTAGATTACCATTAATAGAAAAAGCATGATGACCTGTCATAAGAGTAACAGTAAATATAACTGTAATGAATAAAAAATGTGATTCAACTTTAGGTTTGGTCTGTATGGATTACAAAAGGAAGATTAGCAAATATTAGAAAAGAATTTTAAAATATTAACCTGAGATTTTTTTCTTTGACCTAACAAGAAGCATTTAAATAAGGTTGAAAGAAAAACTATATTGAATGACAGTGTCCTTGATACCACATCTATGTCTCACCTAAATCTATCTTGGTGCCTCCACAGATATATGTCTCACACTTTAGAAAACCGCAATATCTTATAAGACTGACATCATATTCCCCAATCTACAAATGAAAAAACATTCATTAGGAAAACACTGAACTCCACTATGTTAGGTGACACACTAGCTGTGGAAACTCAAATAAATTAGGCAAAATGTCTAAAATTACATAATAGATAAATGCAAAAATTACTTGAATCCAATTTTTTGCAAACTAAAGCTCATCTCTTTCAATATCTTTGACAGCACAAGTTGATTTATTATTCAACTTGAAAAGAAGCAGGAGATATAGCCACTGAACTTCAAAAAGGAGGTATATTTTCTTCTGTGCTTTGAAGGATAAGTATTTTTTTTTTATTTTTACCCAAGGAGATAAATGGAAAGTAAGCAGAGGAATAATCAACAGCATAGCACATGTTCTCAATTCCCAGTACTGTTCTACATACTTTGTATCAATTCATTTCATCTTCACAAAGCCCCTCTACTGCTGATACTCTTATTATCTGTTTTATAGATTTCCAAGAAAAATATGGTCCGTGCTTCTTAACTGTCTAGGGTCACACAGTGAAGAACTAAACACACAGTATATGGGGTTAATAGTCAGTAGAGGAACACAGCCAACATTCAGGATAGTGACATTTTATCTGAGGCAAGAGTTCTGAAGAGCTCATGTAATTTACAAACTCATAAACCAAGACTCAGTTTATCTGTAAGAATAAATATATAATAGGGAGATTGCATTCTTATACAGCACATTAATCCACAACTATTGTATGGTTTTTTTTTGTTTTGTTTTTTTGTTTTTTTGTTTTTTGTTTTTTTTAAGAAGAGGAAGAAAGAGAAAGAGGAAGAGGGAGAGAGGATGGGGGTATTGCTTTATTGCCTGGGCTAGAATGCAGTCTAAATATGGGTATGCCTATAATTGTCCTTAATAATGGAGACATGAAAGAAAATGAGGGAAGAGAATAGCAAACAAGGAGCCAACCAAGATTCCTTTTAAACTTCTAAGTTGATATGATGTGGTACTGATAAGAGTGTATATTTTGTATATTTAAAATGGAGAGTTCTATAAATGTTAATTACATTTACTTGTTCCAGATCTGAGTTCAAGTCCTGAATATCGTTGTTAATTTTCTGTCTCATTGATCTGTCTAATATTAATGTTGAAGTCTCCCACTATTATTATGTGGGAGTCTAAGTCTCTTTATAAGTCTTGTATGTCTGCGTATTCCTGTATTGGGTGCGCATATATTTAGGATCTTTAGCTCTTCTTGTTGTTGCATTGATCCTTTTATCATTATATAATGTCCTTCTTTGCTTCTTTTGATCTTTGTTGCTTAATTGTAACTTCTGCTTTTTATTTATTTATTTTAGCTCTCTGTTTGGTTGGTAAATCTTTCTCCATCCCTTGTTTGGAGTCTTTGTGTATTCTTGAATGTGAGATGGATCTGGATGCAGCATACTGATGGGTTTTAGTTTTTTATTCAAATTGCCTGTCTTTGGATTGGGGGATTTAGTCAATTTAAATTTAGAATTAATAATAATATATGTGAGTTTAATACTGCCATTAGCTGGCTATTTTGTCCATTAGTTGATGTAAATTCTTCATTATATTGATGCTCTTTTTGATAATTTTTTAGAAAGGCTGATACTGTTTGTTCCTTTCATATGTGTAGTGGTTCTTTCAGAAGCTCTTGTAAAGCAGGCCTGGTGGTGATGAAATCTCTGAGTGCTTGCTTATTCACAAAAAACTTTATTTTTCCTTCACTTGTGAAGCTTAGTTTGGCTGGATGTGAAATTCTGGGTTGAAAGTTCTTTTCTTTAAGGATGTTGAATATTGGCCCCCACTCTCTTCTGGCTTGTAGGGTTTCTGCTGAGAGATCTGCTGTAAGTCTGATAGGCTTCCCTTTGTGGGTAACCTGACCTTTCTCTCTGGCTGCCCTTAGTATTTTCTCCTTCATTTCAACCCTGGTGAATCTGACGATTATGTGCCTTGGAGTTGCTCTTCTAGAGGAATATCTCTGTGATGTTCTCTGTATTACCTGGAGTTGAATATTATCCTGCCTTACTAGGCTGGGAACATTTTCCTGAATAATGTCCTGAAGTGTATTTTCCAGCTTGGATTCATTCTCTTCGTCACATTCAGGTACACCTATCAAGCGTAGATTAGGTCTTTTCACATAGTCCCATATTTCTTGGAGACTTTGCTCGTTCCTTTTTATCCTTTTTTCTCTAATCTTGTCTTCTTGTTTTATTTCATTGAGTTGGTCTTCGACCTCTGATATCCTTTCTTCTGCTTGATCAATTCGGCTGTTAAAACTTGTGCATACTTCACGAAGTTCTCCTATTGTGTTTTTCAGCTCCATCAATTCACTTATATTCCTCTCTAAATTGTGTATTCTTGTTAA